TTTGAGTCCGTTTGCGTATTCTGCATAATGTTTAGTGATTGTGTAACTTTCCCGTATGGTATATATCTATTTGCATTTAATTTATTAGGAACAAACAGATTGTTTCTGAACTACTGTGATGTTAACTCTATCCACAGCATTTTTATTACCGTACAACTAAATTTCTTAGGTAACTAAACAACAAACAAGGTTGTTTTTCAGCGGTACGTTTTGTTTTCAAACGTGTCAAAATGCGGTACGTATAAATTGCTCCCAGGAAAAAAATTTGATTTGACAGTCTTCTTAATTGAAGTCGAAGATACGGGTTGGTCTAAGGCGTATCGCGCAATGGGACGGGTTTCTTTGGGTATATAGTCTGCATGGGTTGTCTGCTCCCTTTAATTCCCAAAATTTTAAAGCCCGGTTAGCAAGTTGCTGTGTCTCATTTCAAGCAAAACAAAGATGTTAGGTGCTGTAAAGCACTGCGTGGACTTTTTCTTGATATAGCTGTAAACAGTTCGTGATGATACTCAATAATTCGTTACTACTCAGGCCTGTGAATTGTTATGACTGCGAGCAACGTTTTCTTTCTGGCATTTTAGATGGTAACATTTTCGTAAGGTCAGGAGAGAGTTACACGGGTTTTTTTTACTCTTTATCAATCTTGGGAATATATCCTGTTCGTATTTTTGCTCAATGTTGGACTACAGCTCTGACAACGACGTGCAATCGATGATGCGGGTCAATATTGCGGAACAAGGCCGTCCACTGCTTTATGGAAAAATTACCTCCAACTGTAAATTGTAAAACTACAAATATACTGTTTACCTGCGAAACACTTAAGAGTAAATGTGAGCGTTCCACATCGAATTGTGATTTGGAAGCGTTGGTTCTTGAGGAGATTGGAAAATTGGAGTACCCACAGAATAACCTATCGGAGGAGGGAGAAAACCAACAACAAACTCAACCCACATATCTAACATTGGAATAACGCCATATCTAATATTATGGCGTCGTGAAAGTGTTGTGAACTGATCTGATGGCGAGAGCAATGCTTATTTTCATTCTAAAAATAAAAACAAAAAAATCGAGACTTGACTACGATTGCTGCATATTTTTGTTGATGGCTCGCGGTGATTCAGAGTTCTCCTTTCCTACAAATTTTTATGACATATTATTTCCTAGCAAATTCAAGTTAATCTGTCTTAACCCATATATCTTTGGTTAATACTTTCGAAAATTTTACGAGCTTTTTCTCCTACTGCGAAGTATTTACATTTTTGAAAGCATGGTCTTCCACGGTTGATTACAATTTATAAGAAGCTTGCCTCAGTTGACAGCATTCTTCACGTTGATTTCGCTTGATATTTGCACGACAAGAAAGTCAGACCGAAGTTAAGTCCTATGATTGACTGAGAAAGAACAGTATATAAAACAGTAGGCTTAAAATCTGCCTTTGTACGGCATGAAGTATCATTGTTTCTTTAAGTAGTTACGCAGTTGAAAGGCCAAAGAAGAGGTGAACTGATTTTAAACTTTAGCTGTCCGAAATATGTAAATTGCAAATCATCTTTGCATTGGCGGTACCATGACTAACAAAGCCAGAAATAGAGCAGTCCATGTGAGAAGTTAGAACATAAATAGACTCAGATCTGCTTCTACGTTTCAGATCTCACCCGATCAGACCTATTTAAGCGAGACATCATCTCTCTCGGTACATTACAGTATTGTTCTAGTTGTCGGTTCAAACAGAGGCCTATTTACTGCTAAAGAACTATCAAGTGCAAAAGGAACAGGGACAAGCTTTGGGATTCTTCTTTATGAGCGCATTAATTACAAATGTAACTTGGTTTACAACAATTTTCATCTGAGCTCTGCTCTGTTTCTAAGCTTCGAGGTCTGGGATTTATATTTAGAGTAAATTAAAGCGTTTTTTATATTTAGTCTAAATAAAGAATTTTTCCATGCAGTAATTGTCAGTGAATTTTTCTTTTAGGGTTTCACACCAAGGTGAAATGTGAAGCCATACAAAGTGACATATTTTTTCTTCCATCGGGCAAGAGAGTTTGAGAAAGTCATGATTACTTAGTAGTTTAACTTGAACAGATCTACAAGCGCACCCTTTTACAAGTAGCTGTGGTGCTCTAGGATGCTGCTATATCATTTTCCACATAGATTCTCAGCGTATGATATAGATCATTCTGTTTCTTGCGAGAATATTGCATTCGGTAAAAGATCCTGTTAGCCATTCGAGACCGCATTACGAAAAACAGAGAGTTCAACTTCGCTGCGTCGTTTAGTCGTGTTCGTCTAGTCGACTGCGCTGCTCGCGCTTTATTGACTTTGTCAAGGCTATATGTTTGGCCTGCAAATCGGCGATCTGTGGGGCAGTACGAATACTGATGTTTCCTCGCGGTGAAAGTTCTGGTTAGCATTTTTTTTCTTCTGTTTTACTTTATTCTAATTATATTTTTCTAATCGTAATTTAGGGACTACAGACAATCTTCCAAATATATGATTTTGGGACCAACATAAGTCGTAGCTTAATTCTAACCTGTTATCACAAAATAAACTTGTTAAGTCCGACCAAAGATTTGTACACTGTTTCTTGCTTTTTCCTGTAGCGGCTATCGATAATTCTTGGCCTCGCCCAAGGTTGTAGTGCGCAATGGTGCAACATAATAGAATTAGGTTTTTTCCTTCTGTTTTACTATATTTCCAATTATATTTTTCTTATCGTAATTCAGGGACTACGAACAATCTTCCAAACATATGATTATAAAGCCAATATAAGTCGTAGCTTGATTCTAACCTGTTATCGCTGCTGAGAAGGTTTTCTGGTGTAAAGCTTACTTGAATCAACAACGTCTTTCATCTAGCAGGGGTTCGAATGACAGGCCCCCGTGCCCGGACACGAGACTTAAAGTCGAGCGCGAGACATGACACGTTTTTTCTCCCTCCGCCCCCCGAATTTTTTTTTTTTTTCATACTGTTATTCGATATTTATGATGGTTTATCAGCCTGTGTCCGCTTACGTTTTTGTCAAGGTTGCTTTTGTTTGTCTGTTTGTAAGCCAACTCTAGCTTTAACAATTAAGAAATGGTAAACGTGCAGCGTGCAACCATGGAGTTATGGATGCACGCGGGAGGTTGCTAAGCACGAAAGAAGCGTAAAAGTCGCACGAGGCGATAGCGATGAAAACTTCACAACAAAGCTGTCTCGAATTTGAGCGTGTTTCGTAAATGTTTGCTTGAAGTTAGCATCAGCTTGACCAAAAAGTCAATAACACAATGCTAATTGATAAATTTACACTTCAAACAGACTTAATTCTCCTCTATAACTAGGGGTACCTTCCGGCAAGTGCCAACAAGGCGAATTCGATAGCCTTTTGTGGGATGTGCCTAACGGTCCTACGTGAATCGGTGGACAATTTTAGGGGTTTTAAATTGATTTGTCTATTATTAATAAAGCCAAAATAAGAATTAATACAGGAGATTATAAAGGGACTGTAAAAGGGTGGGGTGGTACGCTCTTATATTGCCTATACGGGAATGTGCCGCTGGACAGGGTATGGTTTTTGACCTCTCCGTGCCCTATTGTGTTTTTGCTCTACAGTAATTGCCAATAAATTCATAAATAGCTTTAAACACGACGGCGCTTTTTTCGTTTATCCTAAACGGAGTATATAATTGTTGACCTAAGAGGGTATGTATTTAAGGATATTTTTGTCCTAAAAAGGGTCAGGGTTTCAAACCTCGGCGGTTCACCTATACCTAAATATTGGTTGAGTAACCCCCTGAGGGGTTTGAAACAACAACTTTGGTACATTCTAGGTTAACCTGGTCACAGAAGCTTAAAGCGTCTTTGGTAGCAAATCTTCACTGCAAATTTCATTTTATTTAAACGATAAACGTTAGGTAATCAATCCTTGAAAATTGAACTTGAACAAGTTAATAACAAGCTGTGTCTACTGTCTACACTTCAGCAGTGCTTTGTTTGAAATTATTGAAATCAATGTATTAAGTGCCTATATGGTTGTTTTTTCATGGTATGAAACAACAAATACAACAATTGAATTTGTACAACCGAATTTTTTTAAATTCGTAGCACGTCTCAGTAATAAATATCAAAGTTTTATAACGTTCTTATAGATAGCAAAAAATGTAGGTAACAAAACTATGAACGCTTTGATTGTATTAGTCTGTTCACGAACTTAAATAACAGTTTCTTTTCCACTTTGTTTCACTAGAGTTCACATTTTTTTGAAATTCTTTAACTTTGTCCACGAAATGGTTGATTTGTTTAGTACCACAGTACTTCCTGTGGAAATTACAAGTTTAGTACTTCTTTGACAATGTTCCGTTGGGAGTTGTATTTCAATTTGACATCCTTTAGGCTCATAAGGGCATCTTCTATTTCATCTATGGTGCTGCTCATACTTGCTGTTATATTCTTCAGGAGGTTTTCGATTTCATTTGTAAATGCAGTGAGCCACAATTCCGATTCATTGTGTTGAATACACAGCTTGACAGAGCCTTCCCGCCTGCAGTTGATGATCCTTTGTCGCACTTTGCAGTTTTGGCATCTCACTGACTCGCCCGACTCATCCCCAATTCGTTTTTTGTAAAGTTGGCATGCACTAAAAATTCTTAAACTGGCAACATATTTTAGTTGACTTGCAATGACCTCTCTTTCTGGATTTGTCAATATTTCTGGGCCCACTAATTTTTTGAGAGTTGTGGTTTCCTCACTGTAAGTTGTATTCCTGTTGGTGCTAAGGAATTTTGATCCTTGATAATACCGTAGTGTGAGGTTTTGAAAGTAATAGGCCTCGTTGCTTTTCAGTTGTGTAAATAACGGTTCCCATATGTGGAGTTCCATTGTGCCCGTTTCGTCTTCCAATATGCAGTCTTCTTTGACAGATAAAGCTTGACTGGATTTGGTTTCTATCTTGTTTGGCTCCTGGGCTCCCATTGACAGAGTTGCATGGACGTTGACTTTCTGATTGGGCGCCATTTCTTTCAGTTCTCATCAGACGCTTCCTGTGATGTTGATTCGGAACGTTCTGACTTGACAAAATTTGGTACATAGGAGAATGGTACATCAGCATTTGCACACTGCGAAACATAGGATTGCTGGCTGAAAAGCCAGTCGTTGTCTTCATCATCTGGTATAAGAAGGTTCTTTAACAAGACGGGAGACTTGGTTTCTTGGAAGTGCTTGATCTTGGGATGTTTTGTTTTGTCAAATCCAACTACTCTTTGCACTTTAGTCGGTGAAACTTGCAGGTGAAAGTCAAACCAATCATGTCTGGACCTTGCTGCGGTTTTGACGGGGGATATTTTTTGGATGTACCCATACTTCTTTACTAAACGAAAGAAAAGCAAACAAATTCAGGATGCATGATCATCAATGCGCTTACAGTGACAGCAACAATAACCCTATTATCATCATTATAGGTAACACAATAACACATGCTATGCTATCTTACCATAGTTTGCTTGAACATTTGTCAAGTGTCTTGAGCTAAAAAGGGTTTTCCATCTTTGCCCCCACTTTCCCATCATATCAAACATATAAGCTCTTTCATAGGGAACATCAACTTGAATAAAATTTTACAACTTAAACAGTAACAATAACGTGTTAGCAACTCAGTTTACAAATAAGCCCATCTTTCAGTTACACATAAAATAAGCACCACAGTGAGAATCACCTCAGAAAGTTATAATATTTTTATACAAGTGGAAACCTGATTTGCAGATTCATGTAAATTGATGTCTACAGACTCAGACTTTTGAAATATGGCAAAAAACCAGCCATCCGGATAACTATACAAACTTCTTGAAAGGATAAGAAACGCCTTACAGAAACACACAAATCATCAATATAGATCCAACCGCTCTCACTTTTTAAGGCAACAGTAAAATGTCTATTTAAACACCTAACAATTCCTTTGAGGCAGTATGAAACTCCTAAGGTTTCCATATCATGTGGAAAAAACATTTGAGTTATACAATCAGGTGACAATTCTATCATTAAAAAGGTTGGCAGGCACACAAAGTGTCGAAGTGAAGCAACACTTCCAGAATGATTTTGTCAGTAAACACAAAAAAGTCTATTGATGTTTGGCAGCATAGCTTCTGATACAGAACTTTCAAAACCATTCTGATTTATATGGCGATAGGTAATATACAAGACAAAAACATCTGTGGATTTGGTGATTTCCTGGTTACACTCTGAACAAATGGAATGATTGGTATGTTGAATAAGAAATAATGATTTTAAACCAAACGTTAATTCTCCAAATGTATTGATTTGGAATATGTCACTGAATACAGCATTATCTGACATACCTGTAAAAGAGGCACAGTGCTGTCTCATCCAGGCCCAAATGGGTTCTCGGACTGAATAAAACTGGTTGGAAAGGATTTCACCACTATTTACTTGCACACATGCTGTGTATAACATTTCAAAAAATTCATTACGTTCCACAGACTCAATAGCATCTTTAAGAATTTTCCTGGAAAATCAAGGCAGTAATTCCTGAAATGTATTTGCTCAACGGGGAGGAATGAACGAGGCAATGACTGCGATATTTCTTTACTAAAACGTTCTTGTAAATGTGGTTTGGTTTGGGAAGATTTACGGGAGTTTGAATCCTTTGACAATGCTGGATTTCCATTGACCAAATGTGCTTCCTTGTTTGTTATTATGTAAGGATTAAAACTACCATTTGAAGCATACGGAATTCTTCTAGACAAATATTTCCGTTTGTAATAGGTGACCGTATATAAGCACGGGCCACAACATCTAATTTTGTGTAATTGTAAATCGTCACTTAAACAAGAACGCGGAGGTTTAATTATGGAGCAACTGCTTCCACAAATAATGAGTGATACAATCAGCATGAAGCAGTAAACATGAAACATGACAAAGTTGGTATGCGACTGAACGCTCGCAGTGATCAAGCAATGGAAACCACGTGTTTGTCTTGATTTAATACGCAACGCTGGCGTTTAAGGATTTTTTTCTGCTAAAAGATGTAAAAGTAAATCACTTCGCTTCTTTTCTCGTAAGTCTTCAGAACGTCTCAGTCGACGAAAGAACACCTCGTTCGAAATTGACAGGCAAACACATAGATGCGAACACGCTGGTTCAATGCGAATCGAGCTGCGAAGAACACGCTGGTTCTAATAAAAATTTGAGCGTATAATCCTATTCCTTGATCAGCTACCGCTTAAAATTCAATTTACAAAGGAAAAGAGAGCACTGCAAACCCTGGTTCTGAAAAGAGAATGTATAAAGCAAACACGCTGGCTCGAATGTAAGCCTGCGAAGAACAAGTTGACTGCGCAGTAAAATTAGTGCTGCTCAGAAAAGGGAGGGTAATGTGTGATGTTTTCAAAGAAACTGTTTTATTTTTAAAGTGAAGATGCAAAAATATTAATTTCGCGATGGAAACAAAGGCAAAAAAGTTAAACTGTCTTTCGTCATATTAAGGACTAAATAGATTTTCTCTGGGCCAAATTTCAGAGCCCTTGCGATTAACAAAGGAAAGTTATTGCAATCTTAAACTGAAGTGTCCGTATACTGGGCAACATACTGTGTACCTTAAATCTTCGCTCACTCGATTTTCCTTCAGCCGATTCTAGCCGCGAGGAAAACAGTGATTAATTCATCCAGGGCAAATTTTGTTGCTTGATCTTTTGTCTTTTTTCTTTCAAAACGACAGCTTAGTATTTTCGTCAACTTCCACTTTTCATCTGTGCATCTCATCGGTGTATTTTACCGTCAGGAGAGGAGATTTGTTGAATTTGCCTAAATTTTACCGCCCTAGCTCAGTTTCTTGGCGTGCACCCACGGGCAAATGGTAGTGGCTAACTGACCAATCAGAGCGCGCGATTTACTTTTGTTATGTTATAATTGGCTTTTGAAAGAGTAGTGTCATTAAGTTACACTTTGAAAATTTCCGGAGGACACTTTTCATCCATACCAACTGAAAACGTAATGCAAATTTTGATTACTACGCCTTTTCTACCGCGGAGAAACCATTCACTAACGTTTCGTGTTCGTCGATGCTTACGATAGTCGTACCTTAAAAAGTCGGACTGACACTTATAAGTTAAGTTGCATAACTGTCTCGAATTCTCCTAACTCCTCTCGTGTTTATATTAGGCTATGCAAATACAGGAAAAAAGTTTTCTATTGGTTTTATAAATTAACTTTCCCGAGAAAAAACGTAAAACTCTTTGTTATGGCAGTGATCAAAAGAAAATTCTCACTTGTCGCGAAGTCTTACTTTGCAAAAAAGATGCTTTCCATAATACAGATTTTTCTCGCTTAAAATGTCAGCTTAAGCGAAAAAAAAAGACATTGCAAGTTTCAGGCGAGCTGGTAAATGGGTAAACCATGTTTACATACTCTCTCTCGGCCAATGAGAGCGCGCTTACTATCTTAGTTATTTTATAAAGTCAAGTATACCTGACCAACATTACCACAACATTCTATGGAAGAATGTGATAGCATGTCGCCTCAAACATTCTCAACATTCCCTAAACAAATATGAAACGTTTAAGATAATCATGTTTATTAATCACACACTGCTCTTGCGCGATTAAGTCAAAGACTGACATTTCGAGAATAAATGAAATGTTGTGACGACACTGTGACAAAGACTGTTCTCAACTTTGGTAGTAGGCGTCAAACAGCCACGACATGATATATTATACCCCATTGTTTCCTTTCTATGACTTTCTTGGTATAATCTCAAGAAAGCCATTGAAATGTAATTTTTGTGTTACACTTTACGTGCCCATCACAGTGGCATTATGGTATTCTTCTTTTCCTCCTTCTTAGCTTTCTGTACGTCTCATTGGCATGGGCAGTGTTTGGGCTACTGTGTAAATTACATGGAGGGCTATTAGAACGCCTGGGAGGCAGTAAATGGGGCGGGATAGATTCTGGGTGATGGTGGATGCTGCGCCACACCCGCAAGCACAGATCTTTAGCTTGGAGCGTTAAACTGCGTGATCCTACATAACGAGAGAGCGTCATTGTAGTGGGCATTTGGGAGTAGAATGAGTAATACCCTTTTCTGAACTCGCTTAATCTTATTGTGTAAATAAACGGTTAGGCTTTTTGTTCACGTGACAAAACAGTATTTGAAGATAGAGCGTAACGAGCGTAACGTCATTCCACTGTCTGTCGGGAATTCGGGAAGTCGTAAGTTCTAGTGATCAACCAGGGGAGCGTACAGTGGTGTCTCCTATCAAAGCAAATTATCTCAATTGTCAGGTAATCAAAAGACGAGCGGACTGAAAACCCACTGTTTAAACCAGATGACAGGAAAGTGCACCGAGTGCTAACATACCGTTTGGTGACCTGTATTTTTTTTTTTTCAAGCAAGTTCAAATTTTGGCTTATGCGCATGCGCGAAAAACACAAAAAAATGCTTTGTTTCATCCAATTAGCAGAAAATTATGTCCTTAGTGTTGGAATGTCTTGGATGGGTACTTTAAGATCACTTTCCACGCTAGGACCCTGCCACTATTTCTGGAACTTGGGTGACTACCCATCAATCAAATCTGTATTGAAAGAAGACTACTTCTGCTCAAGAAAATCGTGGATGGACGTGCACCGGATTACCTCTCTGAGAAACTGTTATCTTTGAAATATCACAAGTCTCATGATACAAGGTCTCAGTTGCCTTGTTGGCTTCCTATTCTACGTACCAAGAGCATGAAGCGGATGTTCTTTTGCAATGCAGTTAAACTGTGGAACAATGTCAGTGAAAATGCTTTAGTCCGCTCTTCTGATGTAAAGAGGTTCAATAGAAATTTCTTTGATTCAGTCATGTGCAAATTTGCGCCTGACAGTTTTAAAATTGACAGAATTTTTTAACTTTTTTAAATGACTTAATATTTCCCTAAAGTACTTATTAAGTTTTTTATCCATGTGTAAATTCGAGTAAATTCTGATATTTAAATTATTTCTTACCTTAGTATTTTAGTGTTTTAGGATTTTTTTAAAATTTTAGTAGTTTCATAGTGCCATAAGGGAGAGTACAGTTGGTCTTGAATTATGCACCCTATTGAAATTAAAGTGTTCATTCATCTTGTATTAATGTTAAATTTGTCTCAGATATAACAGCAAGATTTGAATGTCGTCATATTATTCAAAACGCTTCAGAGGCAGAGCACCGCTATGCCCCCTTCAAACTCCCTGCTCTCTGACAATCGCAACTAATGTTGCTTTTAGCCCTGCATGCTGTGGTGAAAGAGGTTATGTAAACCCGCAGAAATTCTCTGCCACGTCCCCTTATTCTTTGTAGGCTTTTCTGTACGAGAGGCTCGCACTGACTACTGTTTTA